TCTAATAAAATATACAATTTTTAATGCAAAAATCTTGATTTAAAGCTGTCAAATAATTGTAGTGGAGTTTAAGTAGAAAGAAGCATGCAGAGATACTCAAGTAAAGTGCCACAGATTTGTACTGAATGAAGTACAGTGCTTGAGTAAATGTGAAACTATGACTGTACATTCATAGTTGCATGTTTGTTTCCTGTTGGTGATCCAGCTTTGCCAATATATATTATTAGATCCTATTACCAATACACAGTGAAAGCTCTCACCGTCAAACCAACAGGCCACAACAAAGAAAGTCCATCCAAATATAACTTCTGTGATCTAATAAGTGTGACTTACTCTTTCATAATTATGATAATTATCTCATTCATACGAACATTTGCTTTGGTGGAGTTTGTTTTTGAGAATGGGCCTTCATACAATGGAAGAAATAGAACAGATGGAAAGAAATGTGACTTGACCTCACCCAGTTTTGTTGGTATTTGTCATGTGAGGCTGAATAGTCTGGTCCTATTACTCTGACAGGACACACAGAAGGAGAGGCGGAGGTGGTTTATCTATCAGTGCGTCAATAGGAACATCTGTTCACACAGAGAACACTTTTTCCCACAAAGTTTATCTCAAAACTTGCACCAAACTGCACCAAATGCATGACACAACTAAGAACACCTGTGGGTGGGTTGTGGTATCTTGCTGTGTTTTTAAATGGGGATGTGCTGCTTAATTTGGTCCACTAGGTGGTGCTCTATTTTCACAAGAGCATAAAAACGGAGGTCAAAGCACCTGCCCTTGTCAGATTAGACCATTAATTGTATATTTTTATTAAGATTACACTTGTTTGATTGCATACAGTGCTGTAGTTTGTCATGGTAAGGTTTCTATTCTAATTGTGTACCTGATTTTGAGTACAAACATATGAAATGCATTTTAAATTTATACACATGAATGAATTAAATAAATCACATGGCAATAACTTCTTTATTGGCCAAAAAATCCCCCAAATTTGTGATTTTATTTTAGTCTTCTAAAGAAGTGCCAGCCCTTTCAACCAGTGTCCATCTGTTAAAGTTGTCTTCCCACTAAAAAAAATAAAAATAGGTAATAAAAGACTATGCCTTCAAGTTTTCCAATTTGTTGCACATCAAAGAGCTTTGGTAAGACACAATAAAGATGGAAACCAACAAAAACAGTGGTGGCTGAGGTTGCATTTGTTAACCAAAAGAGACTACTCTGCACAAAAGGTTTTTCCCCAAGACGTGATTGTTGAATTTAGCAATGCTCAAGTGATTAAATGTTTAAAATATGACATTTGGTAGTTGATCTTATCATTTAGTTTGTCAATCTTATCATTATTGTAACGTATGCCTAATTTTTCACCCTGTAAATCACTTTTAACTGCTTTTGCATGAGAAGTGTTATACAAATAAACATGAATGACGTGAAAACTCCTTTACAAACAAAGTTAATGATTTAACACTCATTGATTGTATTTACTTTAAGAGTAAACTCCAACACCTTCCATTTGAACATAAATTAACTATTGTTTTTTAATTTCATGTTTCATTTTTTTCTCTGTATTTCTCATAATAAAGATAGTTTAGGCTACATGTATAAAAACTGAGAACATGTACAAACACGAAACACAAGAGGAAACAAAAGAGGTATATAAGAGAAAGAGGAATAAATCAAAAAAAGACTAAAAGAAATGACAATATAATATAAATATAATTTTTTTATATAGTACAGGCTGCTATAGTTTTAATTTAAAAAAAAAGATAATAAAAAAGAGTGTCGAACTGAATAAAGCGCGGTTTCCTCCCCATACATTTTAATTTATAAATATAGCATTTTAAATGACTTTAGAAGTGTATTTTATTTTGTAATTTTTGTATTTAGAAGTGTATTTTATTTGGTAATTCTTCATTTGTAATTTAGAATTGTATTTATTTTTATTTTGTAAATTTAGAAGTGTATTTTATTTTGTATTCTGCATTTTGTATTTAGAAGTGTATTTTATTTTGTAATGTCGCAGCCAGCTGTTGATTGGCTCATTTCTCCTGCCAATCAAATGTGGGCGGGGCCAGTCACTCGGGTGAGCGCAGCGAGGAAACGACGGAGCTGTCAAACACCAACAATCGTCTGAAATATTACCGCAGGCGGCACGAAAACATCGTACTTTGCTCGCTTGTGGAAACCAGAGCGACTGAAACAGACTCCGAGTCCACTTCAAATTCATCCTTTTTGACTTTTAAACCGTCGCAGCGACCAAAAACAACCCCCCCCTCCATCTGTTTGGTGGATCTTAGCTCTTTTGCTTGGCTCGAGTTTTGTTGACAAACTAGCACACTCCGCTAGTCACTGAGCTAGCTGCGTTACCGACCTCGCTGCTGTCGTTTTGGGGGATCAGTGCTACCCGGGAAAAGACATGAGACCCCGGCTCGAACTGTGCCTGCAGACATCTCTGTGAAAATACACAAACTGGGTAAGTCAGGTTATAACTTTTAACAAGGAGTCAAAACGCTGACTGTGGCTGCGTTGGTTTGTTTACATTCTCCGTGTGGCGTTTAGGGACACTTTACCAATAAATTAAACACGTTAATCCCGCTGTTAATTCAACCCAGCCACCTCTGCTTTTAGTATGACTGGTTGCATGGAGCTCTGTCTGCAGTATTGGCTCATTAGCTGTCTTTGATACCCAGATAAGGGGCAGGTTTTCTCCCTGCCTGCCCCATGGACTTGTTCATTACTTTTAAACCCTTGAAGGATCACAGGTATGCAGCGGCTCACATATCATTACAGTTTACCACAACAGCTTGTGGCCAGATAAGAGGTTTCTGTTCACTTTTGATGAACGTGACCTTGTTCAAATACCCGACAAAGATTGCTCTTTTAGTGAACTCTCAACTGTCTTACAGAAATACAGTTATTTCATTAATAATTTACAGAAAAGGGAAAGTTCCTGCTCTTAATATGATTAGATCTTGTGTTTTTTTGTGTGATGCAGACACAAAAAACACATTTGTGAACAAATAATTGTCCCACACGCCCATTTAATACCTCTTGTCCTTCACAGACACTCTCTCTCTCTCTCTCTCTCTCAACCCATCATTATAACATCACTTAGGTTTTGATTTATTGCTGACATTTTCTATCAGTGCGTAATCCACCGGGACACAGCTGGAGAGCGTTCAGGCCCCCAAAAAACTACTGTTAGAAACATGTGGCCCGAGGCTGTCCCATCTGTTTTGGAGCAACAGGCCACATTTTACAGACCCCGAAAAAAAAAAAAGAGTCAGGCTTTGAAAAAATTCCACCCTTTTCCATGCGTAGTCCCTTTGCTGTGGTTGTTTTTTAAACGCACGCCCTTTGGATATGTAGGGAGTAGTTTCAGAAACAAATATAGTAATGGACGATGGTGCCTTGCCTCTTTCTTGGTCTAATCACATGCATCAGGGAGATTTCCAGTAGCACAGTTCATTGAGGGTTATCGTGGTGTAATGTACTGTGTATTTTAATGGGATGAAGATGTTTTATAGTATGCGGATTGAGTTAGATGATGTGTGTCTGTGATGTTTACAGGAGAAGTGGGTGTAAATTCCCTTTTTTTGGTGGTTTTTGTGCTGCTTTAGGGCTGGGAAGATCGCCCTGAATGAAGATTTTCTTCAGAATAAAACAGGTTTGGTGTGTTTGTTCTTTTGCTTCATTTGCACGACTGTCATTCTAGTGAGTGTAGGACGTTTGTGGAGCTCCTCTCTGCTAGCTGTTGACCCTGTCCTCGTCCGCTCGGATACGACGACGCAGACGAAACGTGCGTCTCTGTTCAAAGCTGCTGAAAGGTGAAAGGAAAAGCTCAGGCCCCCGGCACTCGCTTGCTTGCGTTTTTCTTGGCACAGGCGCTTTTATTTCTGCCGTACCGATTTCAGCAAGGCAGAAAACGAGGTGTCATTGGAGAGAGGAAAAAAAAAAGGAAAGTGGAGGATGAAAAGCCTTTTAAGGATGTGGCTGGGGCAGAGAATGATGTCAGAAGTTGTCCAGTAGGTCTACAGTATCTCTCCGGGAGTCTAGTGTCTGTGATGTAATGCTTACTGACCACGGCAGAATCTGTCTGTGTCATCTCGATGCTGTTTTTAGGATCTGATCTTATGAGAGCTCTTGGCCCCAGATTTACTTTTGTGTTTCTGCTTTGGTTAAATGTAGGTCAGTTAAACGTATTCCTTTTTCAAATCTGCATCCCTCTTTACTTTTTGCTGCCCCTTTACTGGAATATCGTTCACAAAAACACACCTTTTTAAACAAAAACACACCTTTTTAAACAAAAACACACCTTTTTTAAAATGGTTTTTAAAACCCAGCTCAGTCTAATGTGTTTTTAAATATGTCCACATTGTACTCGCGTTTTCATACAGGTAGTCTACTGATTGCATCGTGCTTGGTATTCTTCTCGTTCACACATCACCCTCTCAATTGTAGAGTGTTCTGGTATTCACCAAACAGGCGCTTCTTTTTAAATAAAATGTATTGTTATTATCATTACTTTTTGCTGCCCCATTACTGGAATATCTTTCACTGAACTATTCCAGTAATGTCTTGTGTACATAAACGGTCAGTTTTATGATTTTATCTAACAGACTGCGGTGTGTAAGCTGCATGTGGGAACCGCTGACAGAATATATGGGAACAGAAACTTCAGACTACATAAATGTCAGGCGTAAAGATAGAGTGAACTCATATATTATTCATGATGTGCATTGGACACAAGTACTTAAATGAATAGTTCAACCATAAAGGAAAAGTTAGTCGTTGTTTACTTTCTGTCTTTAAGTTTAAAAGCAGTTTAAGTTTCACATTACGACATCTCTGTGTCAGCCTTCTTTCACACAACTGAAGTGGATGGATGAGAATAACGGCTGTAACGCAGCATGAATCACAGTTTCCTACAGCCTCCTTTCCCAAAGCATCTTCAGAAGTCTTGTTTCAACCAGCTGTTCAAACTCCACACGTGTTCAATTTGCAGTAATGTATATTAGAAAAAAGGAGAAAACCTCACAATTAAGGGTATTAATTGTTTTTTTGTCAAGAAACAGTTGCGTTTAGATTCGGTGTTACTCACCAAAATGCATTGTGTGTCTCCTGGAGCTCTAACAAATGTGTTAAATGCATTTCATTCCTCATAAAAAAGATTTATTTTAGTACAGAAATATCCTCTATTGAATTGCGAGCTTGCGGTCTTCTCCTTCCCTGTCGTTGTTGGTGTAATGCTGCATATCTCGGCATGGTGCGTTCACCTGCAGGTGTGTGAATCTCTGCGTGTGAGATAAACAAAATGGGCACCGCGCATAGAAAGCAGATCTATAACGCTACTAGAGCTAAAAAAACAATTGATTCGAGAGTAGAAAAGCCATTAAATTACAACTTGTTCAACACAGTCAGGTCACAGTTGCCCCTAGAAGTTCACCTCGAGTGCAGAGTCTGTTTGGAAAATGTAAAAAACTGATTGTGGGCTAAAAATGATCAACTGTCAACATCACAGAATAACCCGCAGGCACGGATCAACTTTAATGGTTGGCCCAGTTGGTCCCAACAACCAAACTGGACCACTTTAAATCATTCAGTCTCCTGTCCACAAGAAAGAGACTGCAGATGTTGCATTGTTCAGCGGAGGAGTGAGCAGCGATCGTCATAAAGCAGCGTAACAAAGCAAAATGCTATTCATTACATTGATCCCACAGATAATGTATTGCATCACGACACAGTTGGGATTCATTTCAGGAACAATACAGCTTTGATGTGGTTGTCTGTGCTACCTGTTGGTCAGCTGTAGCTGAAGGGATCTCTTTCTCTCCTGTCTCGGTGAAAGGGGAATGTGTTTTTCAATGTGATCTTCCTGCACTTTTCCAAGTAAATATAGTAAAATATTCATAACCAGACTCAACTTGTCTTATCAACCAAAGAGATCTTTCTCTGGAATAAAGAATTCTTAAAAAGTTAGATATGAAAGCTGCATTGTTTACGAGCGTAAGAGCTTTCAGTCACAGACTTCCTTTCCTGTTACCCTTTGTACCCTGCTGATTTTGTTTTGGATGGCAGAAAGGTCCAGGACCTGAGCTATTCCTTGGCTAATCTCCCATAATTAGACAATCGGCCCCTATTACAGCCATTACATTTGGGCCTGTTGAGCAAAAAGTGGCTTGTCTCATCCATCGTAAGGCGAGGTCCAGTCTACAGCTACAGCAAACCTTTCAAGAAAAAATAGCATTGAAACTTTTATTTCTCTCCTTTTTTATAAGAATGAAGATGAATGTGATGATAATGTGTTAACTACGTCAACTCCGTTCTGTGACAATAGGATTCCCAACAATATGCATGCACCCTTTGAGGCATAACTATGAATCATTGAACAATAAACCCCACTGCCATTATACTTGTCTTCATATGTAACCACAGAAAAAAACCCCTAAAGAAATCTCTTTGCTTTCTCTAGGTCTCCAAGAGCTCGGTGACTGTACATCTGTCCAACATGTGAAAACCGTCTCCTCCTGGTGGATTCTCCAGCTGTAAGCCGTGAAGAACTGGATTAGTAGGAAACATCTTGGATCTAGCCAGGGTGTGTCATCAGGGGCGCCCGAAACACAAATTTTTAAAACCGAAGTCTATGTGTGTGACGTGTTTTCTCCCAGGACACAAACTGAGTAAATTCCGCGTCGCTGTGAACCTATTAAAACAATCTAGTCCTCTTGTCATGTGGGTACATTGCAGAATAAGTCCCATATTACCCTCACTGGTATCACGATATTTCACATCACCATGGACCGGAATAAACGCAACTCCATTGCTGGGTTACCTACACGACCAGAGCGTAGCAACGAGGACAGAGACGGTATTGGAGGGGTAGGGGTCGGCGAGATGGGCATGGGCCCGCCTTCACAGGTCAGTCGTCATTCTTAATTTTAACAAGTCAGATGAATTTCACACGTGCAGAGCGCTGTGTAGGGTTCCTGTGCAGATATTAAGAGTTCAAATAAAGTATTGATAATATATTGTTTCCATTTTCTTCTTCGAAAAGAGAAAAATATGGAAAAAAACAATGTAGTCGATGAGTTCTGATAAACACAAAATAATCATTAGACCTATTATAATTACGATTTGGACTGATCAAACCAAGTTGCTCTGTGTCGGTTCGAGGGTGGGCCGGTTGTTGTCCACAGTCAGGAGATAAAATCAGTCATGTGCAGGGATTGATCTGATAAAGATTCATTTTTGGTCTGTTTAATTCTAATTAATGTTTATGTTTAAGTTCAGACTAATGATAGTTGGGATTAATTAATGGTTGATAGAATGTTACCCATGTCTGTCTCCGTCTGTCTTTGGCTATTTTCTGCAAATTAAAGTATAAACGAGCATCACCAATACTGTTAATTGATTGGGTTCGAGGTCTGTGAGCTTCTTTCTGTGTATGTTGGTGCAATCTTCATATCTAATCAATTAGTGCTCTATTTGATCTATCGACCTCTTGTAAGTTCCAAGTTGCGGCAGCGGTCCTACAGTATGCATATCACGTGAAGACTTCATCTAAACCTGTTGATACCAGTCTGTTCCTGTCTTCTCCAGGTGGGCAGGGTGTGGCCATCATCCTACAGAGCCCTCATCAGTGCCTTCTCCTGTCTTACACGCCTTGATGACTTCACCTGTGAGTGGATTGGCTCTGGATTCTTCTCTGACGTCTTCAAGGTGGGTGGAGATGAGCGTCCTTGATTTTCTACTTCCCCGCTTGACTTTATCTTCTGCCTCTTTCCATCTGTTTTGTTTTGGTCACAGATCTCATTTTCTGTTCATGGTTGGCGGTTTGATAATAGGTCACACAGTCTCTCAGATCACAAATACTCTTTTGACCTTATGATTGATTTATTCTTCCCTGGTATTAGACAACAATCCTGCTAGTGCCTTTGTACAATGTTCAAGATTATAATATCATAGAAATAAAAGGGAACCTGATGTGCATGGCCCTCACAAGTAAATGGCTTTTATATGTTATTAAACTGTAAAATCCAAAGTAATTTTCCATTTAATATTATCCAGTTGATATACTCAGTGTGTCAAAGAGTGATCTATCTTCACTCATAAGTCTTTTCCAGACATTTTTAGGTCAAGTTAGACTGCCATCACTTCAAAGACATCATTTAAACACGGGGTTGTTAACCCTGTTACGTCGTTCCTTTCCCCTCCAGGCATGTCAATGGGAGTCACACAAGCACATTTGGCGTGTGAAGCCTCTCTTTAAACAAACGCCAGCAGATAAATTTAATTTAATTTATTACTTGTTGATTATATTAGCAAGACCACCATGACTGTGTGAAATTTTCACATGGCTCAGATTGGTTTTGATAAGCAGTGTGAAAGGACTACTCATCTGGGTAAAGAGCTGCACTGCCTGGATAGACTGATAGTTGTTTTTTGTGAGTTCCTGATTGGAAGACACATGTTTTTTGGGGTATCTGGGTAACTATAAACTTTTGTATGTTTGTGCATAAATGTGTGAACATGACTGTGAACTGATCTCTTGTTATGTAAAGGGTTAACACGGAGAATAAAGTATGGGGGAAGGGTTGTGTTCTCTTATATGTGAAGGGAAATAATCAGATTAATTAACGTAATGGCCTAGAGAGGTTTAAATGACATTAAGCCAGACTCAGTTCCATTTCATGTTAGTTTGTTGCATCAAGTTGCTTTATAGTTTCCAATTTACATTTACATTTTTCACTCTGTGTATATCTAAGTTTCATTATGGTTTTAACATACCTCTACTGCACATCTGTGTAACAGTAGATCTCTATTGGATTGGTGGACTGGTTTGAAGTTCAGTTTCCAGGAGACAACTAGAGGTTGGCTTGATTGATGATACTGTTGATATAATTTATCATATCATCATATTCCGCCATATTAAAGGTCTACTATTTAACATTTAGGAGGATCTATTGGAAGACAAGGAATATAATATTCATAGGTATGTTTTCAATAGTGTATAATCATCTGAAAATAAGAATTATTGTGTGTTTGTTACCTTAGAATCAGCATTTTTTTATCTACAGAGGGAGCGGGTCCTCTTCTACCGAGCCTAGAGCGAACAAACCAAACACTGGCTGTAAATAGGACCTTTTGCGAGTTCTGGGACCGCCATAGTTTTCCCCACACACCGGGAGGGCACTCGGTATTCAGTTGGTTGCCGTCTGCAATTTCACCGCTAGATGCCACTAAATCCTACACACTGGTCCTTTAAGCAAGTAAACAATTTCTTTATTGTAATCAGTTGTGCTCTGGGTATGCCAAGGGTCAAAAACAACCGTGTAAATACTAGAACGTACTCTTGACGCACAGCGCTGCCAGTGACCGAACTACAGACCGACACAAATAAACAACATCCAGCAGTTTCAATCCGCTTTGGATTAAACAGTGGTCATTTAGGTATTGGGCTGCTATTTCAAAACTGCATTTCAACTTTAGTATTTTGTTGGTGTGGGGTTGAAAAGTAGCTGTCTAAATACTGTATGCAAATTTCTGCCACACCAGTTACATTCTGACTCTCCTTTCCCCATAGTTATTATATAAGACTGTAAACTAGAGTTGAAAATATTAGTTGATTAATCGATTAGTCGAGCGACAGAAAAATCACCTACTTTTTCGATAATATATGAATCGTTAAAGTAATTTTTTATGCAAATATGGCAGAGAATGCTGTTTTTAGCCTTTCAAAAAGATAAACATTTCTTGCTTTTCTCTGTTTTACATCATATTAAACTGAATATTTTCGAGTTTTGGACTGACAAAACAAGACGTTTAACAACCTCACCTTGGATTTTGAGAAACTGGGATGGACATTGTTCAATATTTTCGGACATTTTATCAATTGATCGATTAATCTAGAAAATAATCGACAGATGAATTGATAATGAAAACAATCATTAGTTGCAGCCCCGCAATAAATTACTTCTCTATGCCTTTATAACAATGTCGGACACAAATGATACAAAACACCTTATTAGATTTTACAAAACAATGAATCAAACCATTTCTTGTTGGGAAAGAACGGTTGCATTTCTTGTCTAAAATAAGTTTTAAGTCAATGTTGGTCTGCTTAAAGCTACTGTATGTGTTCACTGTGCAGCTCTATTATTTATGAGAATTTAAGCCAATATTTGGATCATGATAGTCAGTATTAATTGATTCAAGTAAGACACAAGGGAAAAACTGTAATAGAAGCAGCTTTGACCCTGTAGCACCTAAGACACAATAATATGATAAATTTTCAGGCAAGATTCAAATTAAAAGGTACACTTTGTTACGTACCATGCTTCCCATAGCCTGTCGTTGAGTAATGTAAACATCTGTTCTTTCTGTGAGGGTGAGGAATGCATAGGTAAACAGAGAGAGAAAAGGAAATGAGGCAGAATGATGAAAAGCTTATAGTCAAGGAGAATGACGGATAGAAAAAGGAACAAAAAGGCGGCAAAATTAATGGTGATAGAGGTTGAGGCTAAGAGGAGGAGGAACCAGCGGGGAAAAAGCTTTTGATGGCGGAGAGCTGGGGTGGCAAGACTGTTGAAGGGGATGAAAAATGGGGGTTGAAAGGCAGTTTCAGAAGTTTATGGAGTACAAGGGGATGGGGGGGCAGACGAGAGCCTGCAGAGGAGATGAAGAAGAGTTTTGAAGAGGAAGCTGATTTAGTGGTGGTCCAGAGCTTGGGTTAGAAGGAGGAGGGAGTAACGGGGGAGAAAAGGTTTGGGGGACAAGGACACTGGGGATATGTTTTCCAGAAATAAGCAGTGGTGAAAATAGGAGACACTAGAAAGGTGAGTGCGCAAGAGCAGAAAGGAGGGGAGCGAGAAGAGGAAAAGAAGAACTTGGGGTTGACTACTAGGGAAGATGAGGATTAGGCATGACAGTTTATTGGAGGCCACAGCGAGGAGGAGAAAGAGGGGGATGAGGACTAAATGCGTATGGGGGGGATGTGTGAGAAGAGTGAGGAATGGGGGGTCGGAGGAGGATAGACGGATGTGGGGGAGGAGGCCTTCAGAGGAGTGGCCATCTGTTGTTTCTGCTGTCCTGCGGTGAAGACTGTCGGCTCTTATAGCCAGGCCCTTTCCTTTGAACTTGAACAGAGCGATTTTTGTGTCTGTATGTATGAGAGAGCGAGAGAGAGAGAGAGAAGCGTCTACCCCACAGAAAACTCCCATAATCTGAATAAAAATCCACAATCTGTTTCTATTACAAGTACATCATTTTTGATAGTTTGCACTTTATGGAGATGTTTCCAAATACCGAAATTGCAGTATAGTAACACTTGTTTACTGACCTTCATAGTTAAGGCCTCCCATATAATTAATCCATATTGACTTTATCCCATCGGTCAATTTCCCAGTGTACCACGGCTGCAATGATGGACAAAAATAAAAGAGCCATTGTTAGAAGAAGATATAAAGCTGCTCAGTGTTATTGTGAATATTACTGACTCTTTGGTAACATACAAGTTTGTATTTTTATATGTTTGTATTAGTATTTTCGTTTGAGAAAGATGTTTATAGAAGAAAAATGTAGGCTGTGCAGATTACGTTCCACCATTGTGTTTCCACCAAGTGTTACATAATTAATTTATTCCTATATTATCATTTTTTGTTTTTCCATAACTAAGCATATCACAAGTACACATTAGCAGCATTGACACCTCTCATTTTATGTATAATGTCTGGTGTGGTTTAAAATAGTCAAGGTGCTGATTTATAATGTCAGATGGGGAGTGACGTATGTGTGATTATAGCTCTCATGATAATGTGGCAGCATGCAGCCCTCGTCTTCATCAATGTATGGATGCTTCCAGATGATTTCCTGTACTTAATTCCTCGTCTGGAGCTCTTGATAATGTTTGAAAAGGCACTTGGCTGTCTACCTATTCACACACGGGTTATCAATTTGGCCCTTTCAAAGTACAGAATTAAAACCTGCATCATGGTCTAATTATGTTTCTGCTGTCAGGAAATGAGTTAGCGAGTGTAGGTCGATAGATGTGTCTGCAGCAGCTCAGTCATTTGATGTGCTGCCTTCTGTGGTTAACATGATGTTTCCTACTTGCATGCATATAAGTATATTCGGCAGAACTCAAATTCTCTGTAATTAATGTTCTGCCTTGTGGTATTTTTGAAACCTGTGGTGTGAAGACCTCAGGTTACCTTAAGACTTCAAAGGCTGTGAAGTGATAGCCACAGTCAGCAGAGATGCAGCATGGTTATTATTGTTGGTTACTATTAAAGGCCTGTCTTTAGTACTTTATTTAAAAAAACAAACATTTGTATTTGGTTCAGTAGAGAGATTAGATGTGTTTAGTGCTCTTTCAGAGGCTGTCTCATCCTATGAAATGGATTGCAGCTATTTTTGGGAAGCAAATGTGTTTGTAATTACTCCGAAATCTTTGAATTTAAAATTCCCTCAGGAACACACAACATAGTGTTCTTTCGGTGTTGTCCTTCAGACTAAATCTTGAAACCCATTGCCAACATACCTACTTCGGTTCAGAGGACTGGGATTCTGGGAAAAACATCGACCTGGAAAGCCAGAGAGGCCCCGCAGTTCTAGATGCACCACCTCCAGACCCACAGTGTTAGACGTACGCGTGTGCGAGAGTCCTTTAAGGAATAGGGCAGTGCGTAGTGAGTGTGTGGTTGAATGAGTGAGTTGTCTAGTAGCAGTAAATATACAGTGTAGGTTACCGTTTGCACATGAACAAACACTGCAGCTCCTCAGTACCCAAGAAGTCCCTGTGCCTTGCTGCCCAGCTGCTGGGTAAAAGTAAAGGGGGTTAGCCCCAAAGTCAGCATCGACTTCAGCCCTGGAGTATAACAGATTCTCTGTTGTGCTCCCCGACCACAGTCCCTGCAGCAAGAGGGGTTAACACGATGTTGTAACTCTCTGTCAATGGCGCTGGTTATACCTAATGAGGTGTCAGCTTATTTGGGTTTTCATGTTAATGTTTTGATAGACCACCGCAGTGGTTAACGTATCATAAATCATTTGCTACGAGTGGAAAAGTTAGTCTGGAACCATGATAACCAGGCAGTGTTTAAAATCTAAAACTGGGCTCCTTTGTAATACACTGTGATCCCAATTATATTTTATTATTATTAGTCTCCTAGTCACATAGTCTCTCAGATTTAAGAAACAAAACTATTGTACATCTCTTGTTGTAGCCACATGTTCAGCACGCTTCAGTGTTGTCTTCATGCCGTGACCTGTCTACAGTGTTTGCTTGGCCTGCCTAGTCCAGCCAACCATGAATAGATGGATAGTGAGCCCACTGTTATCGAACAGTGAGATGGAAACTAAAATCCCAATGCACAATAATACAAAATTGATTGTTCAGCTCTGCATTGACACATCTACTTTTTCATGGCTGGTCAGCAGTGACTGACCTCATTTCAGTTCTCTTTTATGTGCTGCCTTTCCCTTTCTGCTTCCTCTGTTTTATTGTTGCATAAGCCAGATATTTTTTTTTTTAGTTGTTGTTTTATTATAAAAAGAGAAGTGTTTGTAAGCTGTTTAAGTCCCACTCGTAATGACCCAAGCTGAAAATTAATGTTAATTAAAAACGTTCAGCCAATGTTTAATTGTACTCGACTGTATTTGCAACATGTTCAAATGTGGCATCACTTCACTGTTTTACAGGTACGGCATCGAGCTTCAGACCAAGTTATGGCTCTGAAGATGAACAAGCTCAGCAGCAACAGAGCTAACATGTTGAGAGAGGTCCAACTGATGAACCGGCTTTCCCATCCAAGCATACTCAGGTTGGTAACCGAAAAATGGACTGACTTACTGTATCCTTGGGGTTACTAAAAATGCTCTTCTGGCGTTGTGTGTCATTGCGTTCATAATTCTATCTAATCTTTTAACTGGAAGAACACTCAGAAACCAACTTTAAAGCCAAATTTTGTGATTATTTTCGACTATGTTGTTCTAGTTGATTATTGAATCATAACGTAACACCCCGCTACTTTGTAAAGAAACTGATTATTAGTAGTGATTTCCGTTCAGCATGTTTAAGGGTCTAATCCAGAAGGCCTGTTATGTGTCAGTTCATTTTAAGAGATTCAGCTGAGAATTCACAGTAGGCTTATTTTGAGGCTTAAGAGTTTAGGTCACTCAGTAACTGCTAATAATAAATACAGAGTAAATCCTCATTATTTCCACACAAAAAAATTACACATTATATTAATCATTTCTTCTCACCTGCAACTTTTGGATATTAAATATATATCATGTTGCTGTCGGCCTCTACATCTCTCTTCTCACACTTGCTCATGAGTCTGTGGTTGTGACCTGTTTCCTTTGAGGTTGGTTAGAAACTGTGTCAAACACAGAGCCTATTAACAATGGATTTACTAAACTGCCAGCTCCTGTTAGAGCTGCAGCAGCTGCCTAGAGGCGAAAAGCGAGGAGGACCCTTTCTGTCACAAGGGAACAGGACATTGCTATGAACAATCAGGTTAATATTTTAGAGATTCCGGTCAATGATTGGTCAGACAAAATGGTGCAGGGCATGACAGTGTGTGAACCCCTAACACATGACTCTGTGCTCCTGAAGCAACATTTTGTGTTTCCCTCTATGTCACTTTGACTTAACAGACAGCAAACCATAAACAGCCGACTGTTTTTAGAGGAGCTGTACAGTATAAACTGTTTTTGTGAGCACAAAAAACGAGGACGTGAGACTTCATGGATTGTAAACAGCTGATTGGCCTCAACACCTAAAACACAAGCCTTCTAATCTCTGCTCAACAAAATATGCCAAAACCTCAACCAGTAGAACATGCAACAGTGTGTATCTATTATTATTTTTCATGAGCTGTGACTGTTATAAACAAAATGGCGCTTGTCATCACTGTCATCAGTAAGTAATTGAGCTTCTCTCCCAAACAGACCATTTGACAACTTGATCACCTTCAACTCACCGCCACCAGATTTTTATCAAGAACTGAGAACTGGCTGCTAGTTATTTATAGAATAAATTTGTTCTCCTGTGGCTTTAATTGATTATTTTCTTTCTGTCCTTTATTAAATTTAGGGCAATGTATCACTGCCACGTGTCATTGCACTAATTTTATATATTTATTGATTTTATTTTCAATTTTCTGTTGTGTTTTAAAATCTTGTACTAATGCACTTCTTCACCTCCTATAAAGCACTTTGAACTGCCTTTGTATCTAAAAGATGCTGTACAAATAAACTCGTCTTGCTTTGCATTTTATGTCAGGAGAAGGAAAAGCTGGTAGAGAAATATAAAACTTTATAGCAACGAGAATTCAAATCCATGCAATTTAATTTACACAGCGATGTCCAAAAGTGGTATTATTGTTCATTTTTTGTTGTAAACACAGTCAAGTTCACATTCTGCTCTGGGCTCCTGAGTGGGAGAGTGTGTTCATGAACATGCACATACATGCATAAATTTCTGTGTGCGTACTTGTACATACACACACATGCACGGTATCTTTTACAATGCCATCTTTGTTGAGCATGCCTAGTGGATTGTGAGAGTGTGTCTGTGTGTTAACAAGCAGACACTGAGGGGGTCATTGTTCTCTAAAATCCAACAAGGACCCACAAAGTTGACCTTTTCATTGCCTTCAGAATTATGAGGCTTTTAACGCTGCTCCTGAACAAAGTTGGTTCATGTGTTGTTCTGCACACACACATTGTTTCACTTTAGTTGAAGGGGTGCCTGGCCCCTCCTGGGTTAAGGATATTTTCCAACCTCTTGGGCTCTTGGGATTCTTAAAAACCCATCAAAATGTTAAAAAATCCATTGTTTTCAAAATAAAAAAGTTTTTCTCAATTGCTATTGCTAAAACAATTAACACTTTGAGATGGAAACACACACAAGTGAAGGAGGAGCAGTGTGGAAGAATCTGTTTCTGTGTATTAAGAACGTAGAAATTGATAGGTAGAGGATGAAATGGATGGAATGCAGGTGAAGCAACTGAGCTGTTATTATCCTCCTGTTAGCAGACGGTTTCGCAGTAATCACTTGTCTGGTCTTGCCTGCTGGAATCTTAATCTTTTCTTAACAATTCTTCCTGCTTTCTCTGTACTCACAATAGAGGAAGGGGTCATCCAAGTGTTTTGTTAGTTGATATTGATATTATTATTATAATTTATATGACCCTGTAGAGCAAGTCCTTCAGCTAAGAGAAACTAAAAGCTGTATGCACTGGATTTTTTTTAAACTGGAGGTTAAGGCATGTGTCAGCCTTTGTTTTGTTCTTGAAAATTTGCAGATTAATTACAGGTTAATGGGTGTCGGGGTTTCGAAAGCAACTATCAATTAACCAAAACTGACATCCCTGATTCCAATAACATTCTAACAAATGTCCTTGTTAAAACATGACATTATGAGAACTTAATCTTGCTTGTCTTTTGTGATTTTACAGGTTCAAGGGAGTGTGTGTCCATGAGGGCCAGCTTCACGCACTGACAGAGGTTAGGAGAATGCACACAAACGCACCATTTCACATTATAGCTTGTGCACAAGCCAATCATATGTGAGATCTACCAATGACATGTAATGCACTGGTGAGCCTGTGTTCTAGCACTTGTTGTGCACGTGTTTGTATACAGTATGTTCCTACTCTTTCCTACAGGTGAACATCACGTCATCCATAAACACAACATAGAAGCACACTAGTCTGTAATTGTGGAAAACCAAGAGAACTGAATGTTCTTACGTGTACATAACACTTAGGCTGTGTGTTTGTGTGTGTGTGTGTGTGTGTTTGAGATTAAGAAAGAGGGAGGGAGAATTTGATACAGACAGCTAATGAAATCCTCCAGAGATGCTTAATGTCAGAGCATACACCATTAGGGTTACAGTGAGTAATATTTTCTGGGGTGCATAAAGCCTATATTTAACCAGTGTATGTTCATCTGTTTGTGTGTGAGATAGGGAGAGGGGGAGAGATGAAGAAAGGAACAGATAACTTTGTGTTAATCATTTATTATTCACAGAAAATGGTTGATAAGCAGGTGATAAATGTGGCTAGTTAATTACAAAGCTATTTGTACAGAAGATCAGGGCTAATTCTCTTATTGGTAGAGAAATAAGAGTTACAAAGGGTAAATATAACCTGAAACCTAATTAATATGGGCTTTCTGTTGCCGTTAATATCTCTTTCTACAATTACACACTTTTCTGAAAAACACAAAAAATATTCTTCTGTAAGTATTCTTCGGTCTACACTAAGAACCATTTGCAGGGTATCATTTAATTTTCAGGACATTAGAAACATTGGTAAATGATGGATTCTAGAGGATTTTACTGAAATAAAGAAGAATTTTTGTTATAGCGATTAATTGATAGGTTAATGGTAAATGTCTTGAATAATGGTAAACCTATATTTCTTTGAGTTTTAGACTGTTAGTCAGACAAAAAAAGCAGTAGGAAGATGTCAGCTTGGACTTTGGAAAATTGTAATGGGTCTTTTATTTATTATTTTCTTTCTCACGCTTTATGGACTAAAAGATGAATTAAAAAAATAAGTGGCAGATATAATTCGAATAATCGCTAGTTGAAGCTCTGATTTCTTGCTATGTTCCCTTGTTGTTGATGCACAAATTCTACTTATTCAAGGATGGTAACATCAGTGTTTTAGTTTGATGTCTTTTGGTCATCGTGTTCACAAACTGCACAAAAACACACATTCATGGCAAATGCACACATGTACATGTCCATACATTCACACACATACACTTCAACAGTTGCGCAATAGTCGCTTAACATCTGCATCTATTTGTAATTAAATACACATTCAATGGGCAAATATATGTAAACGTGGACAAATAGTACAAAACACAGGATTCATCCGACTCTGAAGAAAGCATACACTGTTAAAGAAGCTTCCAGGCGCACACATGTACTTGATTACATTGCATTGCACAGTGAATGTGCTTATTGTAGCCTTGACAAACAAAGACAAACACCAGCTTTCTGGAACTGCGTAAGAGAACACATCTAAATTTACACACACACGCGCGCTTCTTACTATACTGTAGTCGCTAAGCGAATCCATGCATTGTAAGACTCATGAATATACTTGCGCGCACACTGCGGTAGGTCTTGTATACCTGCTGCAGGGTAAACAGATCCTGTCAGGACCAAACTGAATGCTCTAACCCTGGTAGCAGGCTCCTGCTGTTTTGTTACCTGACCCCCACTATGAGGCCGTGTTTAGAGGAAATGGAGAATTAAGTTACTCCATGGCCCCAAGCTACCTCAAGAAACTCACTGTCTCTCACGCACAGACACATGCAAACCCACAAAACACTGCGAAATAAACACAAAAAAGGCAAAAACTGCTTCAAGTACTTTGCTCCTAAACACTGAGTAGATGAGTCTGATTCTGGGGGTTTGTAAAAAGTATTTCTGAGCCTAAATTAATGTCCTAAATGTTCCTTAAAGCTTGTTGTGCATTCTCACAGAGCTGAACAAAACACTTTTACACTTATTGTTTAGAGAACGGACATATTTGACATGTAAAATATAGTCGTGTGTTGTAGTATGAGATTCAGCCTTTGAAGACTGGAAGATGTACAGAATAAACTAAAGCAGTGGCTCACAAACTTGTTTAGACTTGGCACCCCTTCAAGCCATGCAACCCCCAATATAACATGCATAAATATGTAAACAGATACTTATCGGTACAAGGGATGAACAAGCCATCTCACACATATGATGTTGTTAATGCGCCTTAGTGAACGCGCACTGGACACTGATAGATAACTATCTTACACCAGCCAGTCAAAACCTGTCCATTAAGCCGCTAGCTGTTAATAGCATTGGGTCTGACTTTCGTTTTGTTGGTAGGCTCAGATTCAGTCCTGTCAGGCCTGTGTTGTAGGTTGAGATGCATCAGCTTCTCTTTGAGTTCTCTTTACCGTGTCATATTTTTATATCGCGTGCTCTGATAATCCATTTTTCTGACTACTGACTTCCTGAAAAACTCCTGAGCCGAAAACTGTGTTGTGTTACTGTGGCCCTGTTTAGACCTGGCATTAACAGGCATCTTGGGTGATCCGATCACAAGTGGACAGCTCTAGTACGTCAGTTCACACATCTCCAGATGCATCTCGAGTGACCACTTGTGATCGTACCAGTCTTCCCCGCTCTATCTGCAAATAAACACTCACATCATTTCTGCTTGCGAAGACCAAATACATTGGTATGATTTAAGTGGCGGCCCAACAGTACTTGACAAATTGACATAATGTTTCTTACACAAAGAAAAGAAATAACTTAATATATAACATTTGCTGACTTTACAAGAACACCCTAATAATTAAGAATTTGATATAGACAGCGTTTAAAAAGTTTATAAAGTTTCTCTTAACTCAACACTCAACAATTGTGTGACACAGACAACAAAGTAGCCTATATTTGTTACCATTTACTGTATTTGTATAATTTGACATTTACCATCAATAAAACATGTTCTTTCATAAATTCTGTGTAAATTGTGAAATCCAAGAAACACCTAGCTGCTGAATGCTGGCACTTTAGACACGGAGTAGCTATAGCTGTGACAGCAATGCCACGACAAACTGATGTAATCTACGAGGAAAGAAGCATCTTAATGTTTTGAATTTAAAGCTGAATTAACAAGACGGCACAAATGATTAGTACGTTTCTTCTCACTCATCAACTCTCAAAATTACGCAGTTTTTTTAAGGGAGTCTTGGGATATTGCAGTTACCAGTTGTTAATGGTAAAATAATTCAAAGCAGAGACTGTGTTCACTGTTCACAAACATATGCTGCTTATCTTGGCAGGTGAGAGAGCCCAAACACGTAATTTGCATTACAGTGAAACAAATGGAAATCAGACCACGTGTTGCGTGTGTACTTACAGGACATCAGTTGAGTAGGCGGTCCTTCAGGGTGGCCCAGAACACATTCATGTACACACTGCTAAAAGAATGTGGTCATATGCAGTCCAGACCACCATTGAATGTGGTCTGACTGAGCCATTGGATCTCAATGTGTCCTCAATGTGTCTTAGGTGCATTCAGACCTGCACTGTACACCTGTCCAGTCGTGATCGATCACCCTAGATGTAGGTTAATGTCAGGTGTAAACAGGTCCAAAGACAGCTGTCAACTCAGAGTTGCCATGTCATTAGCTGTGACATAACAACCTGTTTTTAATACAGTGATTTTGATATGTTAATTGAAACGGTGAAACAAGGTGATCAATTTTGCGGCACCTATTTTTGGGAACCTTCGATATACAGCACCAAGCCTTGTTCAGTCTCCTAATGCACCTTATAGGAAATGCTTCTGCAATCATAATCCGGGCTGTTGGTAAGTCATGACCCATGGCAGGATTATACTGCTGTTTGAAGCTGCTCCAAGCAGCAAACAAGGATTCTTTTGTTTGAGTCTTTCCAGGCTTTTTAACCAGAAAAACATAGCAATTTCCACAACAGTTGTAGCCGTATGTTTCTCATTTCCTTAGCACTCTACAGTATACATGATCATGGCGAGGCACACATATGGCTCAAACAAGCGCTGTGTCATGTAATTACTGTGGTATATCAGTAACTGGACAAATAGGATAAAGCAGATTCCAGGGGAAATACCATGTGTGAATAAGAGGCTTTTTTGAATGCGACTTTACATCCATTTTTTTATTTTAGTTGATACAGCAGGTGCACTCTTCCGCTAAACCATGTTATTTACATTTTATACCAGACGCACTTTGCATTTGCTGCATATTATGTGAGCATGAGAATAACATGGGGAGCTGTCTAGATGTTAAATGAGATGATAAAGGAAGGAAGTTGGATTAGTCTGAGTTTTACTTGTCTCCAGTGGAGTTTTCCCTGTTTTATCCCTTGCCCCCCCAGACCTCAACCAGGCAGACAACAGATGTTGAGCTCTGCGGCTACTGAGGAATTTGTTGGACAAATACTGTAATCCTCTGACTTCTTGAATTGGGGTGTATGAGTGTGTTAGAACATTTGATGGTATAGGACTGCAGGGACCTCAACCTTTTGGTGGTGGGCGTTAAAGCATGGCTTTATCATGTATTTTGTGGGTCCTTAGACCTTTTTGGCATTTGAAATTGCCCCCTCTGGGACAATAAAGACTATCCAATCCAAAGTAATAGCAATGAATCATTGTGCCAGTACCTCCCGAGCTCTACTAGACAATTTTGTCTTGACTGGTGATTAGTATCTAAAAGTAAAAAAAAGACATGGATTTGAAGATCATTCATGTCTGGTGTGATATTTTTAATGTATGTTTCACTATACTATATTCCTGATCTTCATCAGGCGATATTCTGGTTTATTGCTGTATACCACTGACATATTTTTTTAATAGGATTTGTTATCATAGAGATATTTACTGTAGCTGTAACAAACTAGCTAGTATAGGTCCCTCAAAAAACATTATGTGATATACCTGCATCGACTTTTGAGTAAACTGTCACAATTAACACAAAGCCAGTTATACACGTTTATTTTCTATTTCTTATACATACAATTGTAGAAGGATGCCGTCTTTTAGATGCTACTGATTGCAAAACCCAGTCCACAGTATTATAAGTATTAGTATCTTGTGGTTCTATTGTCCTGAACCATCACAGGACTTAAAATTTAGGTGGTCAAGAGAGATGTAGTGACTAGGGATATGGATATGCATTCAGCTGGAAAAGTCACGCACAGTTCAGGAGACCAACAGTTGTAGGAAGGCATCAAGACATACATTCAGTTTTACATTTATTGTAAAATTATGCTAAAATAAGATAAGAAAATTAGATTTACTCCCTCCAGAAACCCGGTTTATTTAATCGTGCAAAGAAGTCGAGAGCCCCTCCCCTCACCAGCAGTTCCCTATGTCCTAATTCGGTGCCTGTCAGCCATACCAGTAACCACAGCTAAACCAGACCATCTCTTTATCCCATCTCAGCTCTTATCTAGTTAACCAGCGTTGCTCGTGATATGTGACATGGGATTAGTGCGTCTCTGTGTTTCATGCAAGCAGCAAGGTCAGGCAGGTTCTTCTAGATCAAAGCTGACAGACAGAGTGAGAGACCCTGGATACTTTTAAACCCACTGAGCTGATTTGTCCTCTTGGCTGCCCACCCGTCAGCTTGCACGATGGTCAGACGGTCCACATTCATGCATGTAGGAAACTAGCAGTTCTATCAGCCATTTGAACAGGCTGCCAGCCTGATTTTATTCAGCCAGTTGGTCGATACACCAGCCAGCCCCCAGGCTGGCCGTCTGTAACCCAAACAACCAACCAATCAGTCATCCACTCTGTGAGCCAGCTGGATAGGCAGCTAGTTTCTGTAATTTAGTTGTTACCTTTATGTAGTTTTAGTGTTAAAGACATAGCAAGTCAGTCAGTAAGTAAGTAAGCACACCAATAAACACCAGTAAATTTTAAAACCAGCTAACCAATCTGTTGTTTCCGTCACTAGCAACAGAAAGTGTTTCGTAGCTATGATAAGAGTATTCACACTAACTGAGTTAAGGCATCTCACATTTGATTCCTGTGAAAAGTTGTTTGACATCTTCCCAGCTCACTCATACAATGACCATATACAGCCAAACAAAACCTTTTTTCTATTCAGAGCATAACAATGTAATTGCTGGGCCTTGATGAAGAACATTTAATGTCAGTTATTGTTTGACAAATAATGTCCTTTTAATTTCTTCAGTCCATATGATCTGTCAGTGTTTTGTTGATATTTAACCACTCTTTTATTTCTGTCTTTCTCTTTGTCTTTCTTCAGTACATCAATGGTGGAAACCTAGAGCAGCTCCTGGACAGCAACAAACACCTGAGCTGGCCCACAAGGGTGAAACTGGCCTGTGAGATCGCCAGTGGTCTGGCCTACTTGCACTCCAAAGGCATATTCCACCGGGACCTCACCTCCAAGGTTAGCTAGACAGGCTAATTGGTTGTTAAGAGGAGAAACTACAGCTAAAAATAAAACTGCAGGCCCTCTTGTGTTCTCAGTACAGCAAAGTAACATTTCCTGTAGAATTGTATTTGTTTTTAATTTGTGTGTTTCTGTTGTCCAGCAGTTTCACATGGCCTAGGTCTTTTGTACTGTACTATAGCGTGTATGTTAAAATATTAGCTGGTTTTGACAGCAATATCAGTGTTTGGTCCCAGGCTTCTGTACATAAGACTTGTGTTAAGTGTTCATGACAAATGTTAAACATATTGTTATATATCTGGACACACTTATCCTCCCTTTTACTCCTGGGCCTATTAACCTCTCTGTAAAGAACACAGTGTCACAGTCAAATGTGATAATCTGTACCAGGCAGCTTCTAGTTTTCCAACTTGACCCAGAGCCATGTTGGCATGGAACTGGCAGGGAACAGGGACAGTATGCACTCTGCTATAAACTCATATTCATTGCCTGTCCAAGCTCATAGTTGTAGAATAACTTGAAAAAAGTGCACAGAGAAATTTAAGTGAAGTTGAAGCCCTGCAGATTTTAGTTCCTCAAATTAAGTCAATTTGCTTATGACACTTAAGTCAGTCATGGAACTGGAAAAAGTGACATATATATTAAGTAATGTAATATACTTATTCTAAGCACTATCCCTATATACTTGTCGATATACCCTTCCATTATGAAGGAGTAGGTGATAATAGGTTATAAATTCAAGTACAAGAAATGACTAGGAATAAGGCAATGACATTTAAGCTGAACATACAGTACATTTTACTAAGTAGTGCCAAATGTTACACGAACTAAAGGGCAAGGTGGCAGTGTAAGACTTACCATTAAAGGTACTTAACACACTGAATATGTACTGTACATTAATGTACACTAAAGCAGCACAGTACAGCATGCTACTGAAGGAAGCGTAGTGATAGTCTTGTGCACTGGATTCATGTATCAGGTATGCTAAGTAGAATAGGTATAAATAAATTGTGAGTATATAGAACATTAACGTTCAGCACAACTCAGTATCTGTCACTGCTAAATGTCGGGTTACACAGGGTTGTGCAAATGATGTCAGCAGCACACATTTTGTACAGTATAATTATAGAACTGCTTGGGTAATTTTAATGACCATTCTAACAAATGGTAGTAGGTTTACACATAGTTCCTTTTAGAGTGAAGAGGAAGAGTCCCAACCTCATAGCAGTGCATAATTAAATGTCCTGTTAGTTCTCATTTTCAGTACAGAGAATTTACAGTAGAATAATATTGAAAGCTTGACTTCAGTCAGGATGTGGAAGTACAGCCATACCGCAAAATGTTTTTTTTAAATCTCTCAGCGTCAGTGTCACAACTTCCTCAACTAAACATGTGTGATAATTATGATAATGTTTTTATGTGTTTTTACAGAACTGCCTGATCAAATGTGACGAGAACAGCTACTCAGCAGTGGTGGGAGACTTTGGCCTGGCAGAAAAAATCCCCACCAATGCGTAAGAAGTTCTTCAATGACTACTCCTCTCCATAAATATACCCAGGCCTAGATCTTTATTAGTCATAAATGAACGACCAAGACTTTGGTGAAAAAAGAAAGAGTGTGTGTGTTTGTGTGTGTGTGTGAAGTAGGCGTGTGGTTGAGGTAAGAGATCGAATGGCAGAAAGTGAAGGTGAATGCAAGCGGAGCATAGGAAAAGGTTAGCAGTGGAGCTGTCTAGTGGCAGTAAATGTACAGTGTAGGTTACAGATGAGAAACACTGACTGGGGTTAGCCCCAAAGTCAGCATCGAGTTCGCCCTGGAGGAAAACAAACGGTCTGGAAACTGCAGCTGGACGTTATACCTAGACCTATATAGAAAGAGGGTTAGGGTTAACCCTGTCTCAATAGCACTGGTCATACCTAATGAGGCATCCACCAATTTAAATTTTAATGTTAATGTTTTCTACCCATTAAGTCAGTGGTTAACTTAATGTTATTAGGGTAATGTTAACTAGCTACCTTTAATGAATATCCTTTCTAACGCCCTGGGAACCAGATGTAACGTGGCTAGCTTCAGCATGAATTCATGTGTTTTATCAATAGTAATGATAAAGCGATAAGGTACGAGTACTCTGTGGTTGAGTCTCAGCTGTTCTCATCAACCTTTCTGTACACTAGCTGGTGAACAAAGTTGAGCCTTTAACAGTTGAAAGCCCCAGTTATTTTTGAATGTTTGCAATAACAACTAGCTGTGTACTTGTTAGCTTGTTTTGAAGTTTTATCTGCCCCCTAGTGGCCAAACATTGATTATTGCAGCTTTAAAGCTTTATCAGGCTCATTTAGCAAAACCCTGTGGTCATTTTTGTAGCCCCAAAACAAAAATACTTGTCTCTGAAAGCTACGCGGTAGCTCCATCGACACTTTTAAAACCTGTCAAGACTGGTGCAACTTATTTTAAATAACCATAATAAGAGAAAATGTCAGGTTAGAAAATGTTTATTCCAGCATGTGATCATCATTTTGTCCGTGTCTGCTCTCCACTACACTTATGTTTTTCTTGTAACAGCTATTTCCAGCTCACTAAAGTGTGTTGCTTCTCTTCATACCAGGTGCAGGGTTATTTATTAACAGCAGGCTGTATAGTTCACATTCTAAACTATAGTGTTCTGATAACAGGAGGACACTATCAGCACAGGGCTGGTTTTTTAATGCTGTAATAGCTTGATAAAGGAGGGGAATGTCTCCAATCTTGTATATCTATGCACGTGTATGTGGGTATGTAAACATGCATGAATAATGCACAGAATGTCGCCACACCTATAATTTTTTACTCAGCGAGAAGGTGCGGCCCGACTTCACCCGAACTAAATCCAAACAGAGCAAAAGCTGCTGAATTTAAAGGATTAGAGAGCAAGTTTCATTATACGGGCAGTCTGAAATCTTTATAACTGATTGTAAGGTAAGACGGCAATCATTCACGGTGTGGTACAATTTTAAAACTGCAATTATGTGTTAAGTAGAGAGTACACTACACACAGAGCAGTTGGGTAATCTTGAGTGAAAAAGCCAGAGTCGAGTGGGCTTTTCATATTTGCATGTTTGCACTGATGTTCTGTATCACTCCCACAAATGCACTTAAACTTACTGCTAATACCTCAACATAAATGCAATAGCAGGCAGGTAAAACTCCTGCTGTTCTCCTGTCTTTATTTAAACACAACAGGACTATGGTCAGGTTGGGCTTTTCTTGCTGGTGGTGCACTGGGTCAGGGGAAGATTGTGTAATTAAAACCAACTTTTCATCAGCTTGATACATTTATAAACAGATTGACATTGAGTCCTGTATGATTTTATTACATTATTCAACCAGGAACACACAGTTCAGGAGTCACCTTAAACGCCTCCGAAGGTTCTTGAATTATCTGTCACAGATGACTTCCTCATTATAATCAACTAGATACATTAACATGTTGTGCATAACCTTTGTCAAACCTTGTGTGTTTGTTACTGTGTGTTTAGTGCTGAACGAGAGAAGCTTTCAGTCGTCGGTTCTCCTTTCTGGATGGCTCCAGAGGTGCTGAGGGATGAACTCTACAATGAGAAGGTGAAGTCAGCAACTACAAATAAACTAAAATAAGACTACGTAAGATAGGTGTTTATTAAATTTACAAACATCTTGAGAGAAAATTGTTCATAAAAGCAGCAAAAAAATACGATAAAGATTAAAGCAAAACATTTGCAAAACACACAAGCGTTGTAAGTGTTTTACTGTACAATAAACCAGGCAGTTCATCATTTTTGAACCAAAAAATAAACATGTGTGTCTGTCTGTTTTCAGGCCGACGTATTCTCCTATGGTATAATCCTGTGTGAGATCATTGCAAGGGTCCAGGCTGACCCTGACTTCCTTCCCCGCACAGAGGTGATTGCTCATCTGCTTCTCTCCTATTTTCCACCCTCTAAATATGCAAAGAAAGAACTTAAAAGGTTTATTTTAAGTAAACCAAATTAAGTGTTGTTTGTCTTAAACACAGACAGAGATGGATTCAGCTGTTTATGCAGGAGGGGGTGGGTTGGTCTTAAATTTAATTCTAAAAATATTCTCTCTAGGTCTCACTAAAAGATTTACCTTTAGAAACCTTTTTTTCTATCGCACAGCCTGTGCCATTTAACGTTGCCTTGGACTGATGGAGCCAAACTTGCTTGCAAACTTAGCATTCAGCAGGACTGTGTCAGAGGGATTAGTGTGACATGAAGCTGGTTTTTGGCAGAAGAGTACATTATGACAAACATCTGATGAAGCTGTCTGTCTTTGTCTTTATCCCACTTTTAGGAGAGTAAATACGAATTTCCTGTTTAACTTTCATGCATCCAAATCTCTTTGTCACTCTGTCTTCTCTCCTCCTCCTGACCAGAACTTCGGCCTTGACTATCACACGTTCCAGCACATGGTTGGAGACTGTCCGCCTGACTTCCTCCAGCTGGCTTTCAACTGCTGCAACGTGAGTCCACCACACTACACTGTCCAGTCAGTGTGCAGTCTCCATCAATAAAGATATCACAGGCTTGTAATGATCCCTGTCCACTTTTGATAGAGCTGGAAAGCAAACAGCAGCAGTCAGTATCTGCTAAATTTAGTGCACTGTGGTCATAGTTTGTCATGTTAAACGTTCCCAAATGGCTTGTGTTGGTTGTTTCCACAGTTTTATCTTTAATTTCCTAAGTAACTATTATTCCCTGGTTCAGAAATTGAGGGGTAATCTGATTATCTGAATAATCAGATTACTGTCCAGGGGGTCTTCTGTTCACTAAAAGCTGGATCAGTTCAGCTTTTCTCAATATTCGAACTTGGATTTGTTGTTACATTTAGAAACTGTTAGAATGAGGAGGAATATTTAGTAATTCAAAACATATCAAATATAAAAATTTTTATGAGATTTTGCCAGTTTAGTTTTGCTCACATCATATCATAATCACTGGACTGGAATTGTGTTTTTTTTTTATTTCTCTGACATAATTTGAAACCACATGGGCATTTGGAGCACCCTGCTGACTGATCCTGTATCCCTTCTCATCCTTGTCTGTTGTCTCGCTTTTATCATCCTCGTCCCCTTTATCCCCCATCCAGGTCTTTTCCCAGAGCACTCTAGTGTCATTTCATTTTCTTAATAGGTGGTTTTACGGTTTTGTTCAACCATCTTATTTCAAGCCTCTTGTACTTCCTGTACATGTTGTTTTTCTCTCCCAGTCTCAGTCTCTCTGTCATACACCTTTTTTCCCATTCCACAAAGTCTCTCTACCCCTCTTTATTCCTCACAATTTGCTTCCCCCTTCCTTCATCTTCAACTTCAGCCCCAAATAGTTCCTCACGTTTAAATATTTTCAATAACGATGCTTTATGTGACATCTTTAACAACACAAATAACAGTTCTAGGAAAGAATACCCAAATAATATATTTCTATAAACATCTGAAAATGGAACTGACACGGCAGCTTCAGTTGTTATTGCTTTTGCAGAGAGGACCTTTTCTTCTTCTTCATTCAAACATGTTAGGGGGATTTTTTTTCCACAGGCTTTTCTTTTTTACCACTTTCCGCTAAGAAACTGCACGTTTGAAAATAAAGTGCCATTAAAGGCCATAAAGCAATCCCCCTTTGTACCATAAAACAATATAAGAAAACCAACTTGTAAAACACAGTGTAAATGCTTGCAGAGGCAATAATATTTTAATGTTTAAATTGTACATGTAGTACCTTAAAATGGAAACTAATCCAGTTGGTGTATGTTTCCCTTTTCCCTTTTCTCCATATCTCCCATTTTTATTCTCCCTTCAGATGGACCCTAAACTCCGTCCATCCTTCCCAGACATCGTCAGGAACCTCGAGGAGATTCTCGCACGCCTTAAAGTTGAAGAGATGCAGCACGAGTGTGTACCACTCAGTGGGGACAATGACAAGAAGAGCATACCCAAAGGTAAGAGCGCTGCACAGAATCTGTGATGCCGTGATCACTTCAGCTTTAGCTTTACAGTCAATAAAAGTCACCTCCTTTTGTTTACATGAAGATGCCTGCAACTTCGTGTAAAAGAAGGTGGTTGGAATTAAAACCAATCCAAGCAAGGCAACCGACACCTATTTTATGTCCTTCATCTTGCCTCTCCGGCGTTTCACCCCCTCTTTAACACTGCATACAGGCTCTGTTTGTACTCTTGTACAATCCAGTCGAGTCAGTGTGGAGCCTCACAGAAACTTCCCTCCTCTCCTAACACCAGTTCCTCTTAAAGGTTACACTGTTATGTCTATGTTTGTCCAGTCAGTTACAAGAATACTGTTTACTTTGTCCTCGCCCAAACATACAGTCAGGTTTTGTTCAAGCTAGAGTTTTACTTCACTTCCTGTCGCACAATGTGTTTGTCAGGAGAGTAATATAATAATACTATCTGTATCCCCTGTTCTGTGCAGCCCAGTAAGCTAATCGAGGTCAAAGTCAAATATGTTCTAACTTTTGTCTGAGTATCCGTATCACACTTCAAAGAACCGGACCACAGAGTACTTGGTCGCTGATAATATAAACTCTGTGACTGAGGAGGAAAACTGGTCTGAGATCAACATTCCTATTTTGAGATACTTGATCTATGCAGGCCCAGGTTTCACTTCTAATTTAGTCCAGCATACAGCCGCCTGCATGTCTGACCATCACAGAGTCAGGAGGAGGCAGTAAACGTTTTGTTTAGACAAGCCAAACGATTCCTCTTCCTCAGGACTACAGTTCACGAAGAAGGTGAGCACGAACATACGACGTCACAGGATGCAGGAGTGATTTATACTGGTGACTGGCTCGGCTTCTTACATCTGGTGTTGGGTTGTTAATCTAGATGAAACAAGATTTATAAAACACTCTGATCCTGTTGACATGAGATATATCTCTTATGTAGCTATTATTGTGTGGAAAACATGGCCTGGATCTGACGGTTCTCACTCCTCATCTACTGTAACAGTACGCTATTAACTTCTTCAGCTCCCTCTCTCTGTTTACCTGATAACATCAGCATTTCCACAAAACCAGGATCATCCTCATAGTAGGAAATATTTCTGTTGCGTAACAACTTTTTAGCCAAATATTTTTGTGGAGTTGCTTTTTTTGGTCCTCATGAGCGACGTGAGTAATTCTTTCAGATATTTCCTGGCATAAATGAGACGCATGATCCCTCAGAAGTGCAACGATATATCTTATTTTATCCTCCCCTCTTTTTTTTTTTTATTAAACCTTTATTTAACCAGGAAAGGTCCCATTGAGATTAAAAATCTCTTTTTCAAGGGAGTCCTGGCCCTCTTGAGATTTGGGAGGATACAATCAGATGTGTTTCTCATGTGTTTATATGCATCATCACAGATCTTTGCGAACTCGGGAATAGAAATGTTTATGTGATCATTTGAACCATCTCTTGATCAATTGCTGCAAAGTGAGACATCTTTTTTATTTTTTTTAGCCCTGTTTCTGTCACCTTCAAATGATTCCTTTCATCCTAGTAGTTTTTCCTGCTCTACTAATTAAAGTTTATGAGAATATTAAGATCCAACCACAGAGGACGTTTCTGTAAAACAAATCTCATCCCTGTTCTTCAAATGGAAATATTTGAAGAACAGGGATACCATTCAGTGAACTCAAGATTAAGTTGTCTGTGCAGGGTTTAGCCTGTATTGCCACCTAGTGGTTACATGAGATTCTCTATTTTACCATCAGAGTACTATTAACAACATATAACAATATGACAATTTCCCCAAAAAGTGGAAGATACACCTCTTGATGGTAAACTTTAAAATTTTGTAAATTTTATACAAAATGTCATTAAAGCAAACCTGTGTCTTTGTTCAAGGTGAGAAGATCCAGGGCTTCAAGCGACTGAACCCTCTCGGCTTCCAGGATGATAAAATCCCTCCGAAATCACCCCGCCCCCGTCGAAACATCTGGCTCAGCCGCAGCCAGTCGGACATCTTCTCCTGCAAACCAGGAAGAAAAGTCAACGTCCAGGACCCTTACTATAACCCCCCCATCGCTCAGCGAGCCTCTAAAGTCCGCAAGGTCAACCCGTTCACCGCCCGAGAGGACCTGTGCGGGGGCAAAATCAAGTTTTACGATGTGCCCAGCAAGTCCGTCTTCTCGCTGATGTTTGACCTCCACTCGCCTCCAGGGAGTGCGTTCAGTAACCAGCCGTCCGCTCAGGGACCTGGAGGACCCCTACAGGAGGCTTACTACTGGCAACAGCTGCCAGGAAGACAGTGTCACTCCTTACCGGTGTCCCCCCAACTGCCCCGCTCCGAGATCTTCAACCTCGCTGCTGCTATTAGCTCCAATAACGGTTCTGTTACCTGTAACTCCAGCCAGCTCTCCACAACGCTGCCAGGTGAGTTGTCTGCAGGCGATGTCCTTTCAGTAATGTCCCACAGAGTCAGTTATGATGTTGAGACAATAAAATTCTTACATTTTTTAGATATATACTGTTAATAATCTGATCAACTGTTTTAATGTGACCAGAAAACCTCAGTACTCATTGGATAATAGTTGGTCCTCATAACAGCTGCCCCACACAAAGACTTCTTTCACTTAAGGTGAAAGTTGGCAGTTCATGCCAGGGGTGATGATAATGTGTTTTGGATTGTTTATTGTTCACTGTTGACACTACCACCTCACCACACCCTGGTTCTGGTTTGGTAAATCTCCAACCCACATCCTTATACCATCAAACATCCATTTTTGCATTTCCTTATTGTATCAGCTCAGGAATTTAATCTCTAAAATCAAACAATACTTTACTTTTTTTGCTTTATTACCTAGTTTGTTTTAGTTTTTTATATTAACCAAAATATGTGAGTTTATACTTTGGCAGAGGTTAGATCAGTGGTGCTCAAACTGTGGGACGAGCCCCTCTGGTGGCGCGTAGAGCCACTGCAGGTGGGGCACAGATGACATGGGGAAATATATGGATTGGAACAAAGTTGAATGATGATGATTTATGTAGGGAAAATAAACAAACAAGAGTTTATTGTGTGTCCTTATACTCATATAACAATCTCGTCATCCCCTTTTATTAGTTCCTCTATCGTTGCTAATGAGGGATTGTACCAAATTAGATAATGGTTCCTGAACGTCTTTCCTCTTTTTCTCTCAGCAGCTAACTCTAGGTCTGACGCAGGCCTGATGGGAAATGACGTCCGGCAGAAGGCAGCGCTGGGCGGCTGGGCGAAGAAATTCGTCTTGGTTGAGATCCCACCTTACTGCAGGCAGAGAGGAGGGGAGGAGGATGGAGAGGTAGACGGGAGGAAGGAGGGCAACGAGGAGGATGAGTTTGGGGAGAGCTGGTCTCCGATGGTCCCCAGCAGCGAGAGAGACAGTGGAGAGGCCATGGACTGCTCCAGCAGCCTGGAGGAGGAGGCTGAACGACAGAGAGGGACAGACACCTGCCCCATGTAACACACATGTAAATCCACACACACACAAACATGGAGGATTGTGGATTTGGACAGTAAAAGGGGTCTGTTACCCCTGGATTGTGCACATGGAGGCGGCCGGGAACTCGTTTTTAAAAGTAGACTGACAGACTGGACACATTTCAAACAATTTTGAAAGAATAAAACATAAAAAAAAAAAAAAAAAAAAAGAAAAAGAAAAGAAAAATCACTTGATTTTTATCTTTCAGGTGAATGTATCACATGTTGATTAATAAATCAAGCACACCCCATGTTAAGAAATAACTGTCTTTCAAAAATATTATCACCCAGGTGTGACAGGACAAGTCTCCATTTAGCACACACAAAAAAAGCTTTTATCAACACAATGGACACTCTGCATAGAGATTATTTTTTTGAAAAGGTTGTTTATATTTAATATTGTAAGATGATGTAGATTATTTTTTCCCTTTTAAAGGTTTCTCATATTAGACGAGGAGTATTGACGATCCGTTGTGTTGTGTATGTGTGAGTGTTTAAAAATCAGCTTGTGTTTTGATACTTTTCCCTGTGTTCTTTGTTAGAAAAATGTTTATACTAAATCACAAAAAAATCCCATATTTTTCTGATCCAGACACTGATATTCAGATGAGAATTGACTGATTTATAACGGAGTGCCTGAACCAGACTGCAGTGGTAAAATATTTCACACCAACAACTCCAACTAATTCACAGGGAAACTCTGCCTGGCAACAGCAATAGTGAATTATAGAGAGGAGATGGTTGTAGTTCACGGTCTTTCTCTTTTATATTCAATCTAAGTAATAGCACAGCAGTTTGGTAGCTACTTCATAATATAGCCACCACTCAACAGTCAAAGCAGAGCATTCATAGGCAGTGTTGTCCAGAACACAGACTGTAGGCAGACATGTTGTGAAAAAGGACCTTTTTTTTGCATTTAAACGTTGCTGCTCGAAAGCCAACCTTCAAATCTCAGATGTAGGAGTTTACTTGAAAATAGTCGAGTCATTTTGTTGATTTTGCTCCCGTTAAGTGCACACACCTAAAGTCATGATGACATTTGTCGGGGTCTGAACCAAACGAACATTTTCTTATGTTTTCTGTACGTTTTCTTATATCTGGAGGAGATTTATAGGCCGGGGAATCTCTGCAGCACTACAGTACTTCATTAAAATGCTGTCTTGACACATTTTACCTTTACCAAAAGATTGCAGCTTCTGCGATCTGATTATTGCACTTGCCATATTGTAGTTGTGATACTATTTTGATTAACTGTGCAGCCCTACATTAAAGCAACTCACTGCAGAAATGAAACTTGTGCTGTTCTGCTTGTTCTGTCGCTTTAAAGTCAAAACTGAAATAAATACAAACAACGGGATCCCTGAAGATTGAAAATCAGTCTTGATGAGCTGTAATGTAAATTATACATGAACTATATACAACAAAAGATAATTCACTGTCAAAATACTGCACATCCAGTATGTCCTGAAACAGTGTTATGAAACGTAGAGATTTTCTTCCAGAAAGTTGCTATGAGCTCATTGTTTCAGTATGATGCTGGCGCTGAGATGAGGAGAGGCTTTCCTGGTGTGACTACGCAGTGCCGTGCATGCTGTCTGCTACCCTCATTTTGTACTGTCCCATAAGGGGAAGAGGAAGTTTAGCAATGTTTTATGTAAAATTTAAAAAAAGGTAAAACATACTCAGACAAAAACTAAACTTAATTCCATTTCAGACCCTCCATCCTAGCGTCTTAAAGGAGAAATAAACTGAGGAACTTAAGTTAAAACGCAAAAGAGACTTCAGTTAATGGAAGGACTCAGACACAGCTTCGGTTGGACGAACAACCTTTTGATTTGAGGTCTTTCAGTTTTTTTTCCATTCGGATGTGCCTGATGTTTGGAAAAAAAACCATCAAAATATCTAAAAAATACTTTTTCTATTACAAATTATTATTTAGTAAATGTACTTGGACTTTGGAGTAAATTGTTCCTTCAGTTTTCTTTAAAAGATGGTACAACTTAAGTTCAAGTGGTCAGATTATGCTTTAAATTCAAAGTATGCTGTTTTTAATTGGAGCACACTTCCTGTGAATTGAGATTTCCAATCTGAGGCTGAATGTCTCGGACACGCTCCCTCATGCGGCTGCCACTAACATTTGGTTCAATTTGTCTCATCAAACTAAAGGTCTCATGACATTTTCTACTTTTATTAGCACACTTCATAGATGTGGGTATTATTGAGTCTCATTGGGAAGGTTTGTTTCACATCCAAATCGTTTTCAGTGTTAGTCTGAATGACTGTTATAAGATCAGATTTATATTTGTTTCTCTGCTCCAGTACTTCATTGTGATGTTCTCAGTCCGATCACTTCAATAGGAACTAAAATGCACTTGTACAGCGATATATACAGTGATCTCCTCTGAACTTCTTTTCACTACTTGTCTATGCAACCAATGTAACTTTTATGACAGTGTTTTACAGTATAAAGGATCTAATTTGATATTTATGGGAAAACATTTTTAATGTCTTACATTTGTATATTTGTGTAAAATGTTTGTGCTACCTGCCCTGATGAATACAGACTGAGATGTTGTTGCTGATCGAATAACAAAGCTCCCCTGAGTTTTCTTTGTGTTTGACTCTCATTCTCTCGCAGACTCGACTTAAAAAGTCACATTTTTTGGAAAAAATGTGAAAACTTGTCATGTGGACAGTTGAGTGTTACAGTAGAGTCTCTTTTCTTTCTACAGGTTGGTCGCAATAAGACATGTTTGACTGCTTTACTGCTTTTTAGCATCCGTTTTCCTGAAAGATCAAACAATAACAATCTTTAAAAAACCCCAGGAGGAAGTTTGGATAAAACTTAACTGCAATTTTAAGTATTTTCCAAAATCTTTTAAGACTCTTCTGCCTGTTATTGGTGATACAAATATTATTTTTGTGACTTAACTTGTATTTGCTAATACAAAAAAAAATTTAGCAGTGATGTAATATTATAAGGAAATAAAACATCGTTTAAATGCAGACTCTGACCTATCAAGTTTCACAAGACTGCTAAGAGATTTGATATCGTTAGAGAAATAGAATACATTACTACATATTGCATTGCATGGTCAGCGTTGTGTCCTCTGTCGGCTGTCTAACAACGGCATAAAAATGACTCCAATAATACTTATGAAAATACTTGGTCTTGTCTAGTTCACCTTTAGCATCTTTAGAGTTGACAACCTTTTGTTCACACGTAAAAAAACCAAAAAATTCTCTTCGTCTTTACCTCTGATATTTTTAATTTGTGCATCAATCATACTTCTGTCTGCGTCTAGTAATGTGCATCATCGTAGGCCACAACAACACAACGTGTAAAACAAACACTCTCACAATATAACAATACGACAGTTGGTTTTGTTCCAAAGATATTTCTACACAAGATATTTTTTTTTAAATAAAAATATTAGAGATGTTGACTCTTCATTGTTTGTATAACTCGCCTACAGCAGTCAGGGACACGCCAGTGGTTTTGCATGTTTTGATCTGTTTCCTACAGATAAGATATAAAAAAAATCTACTGTCTCCACAAATTTGAATGTGTTTTTCCTCCAGTTTCAAGCAGCCATCACTAAAACTCTGTATACACATTGTTGTGTAAAGTTATTGTTGTGCAGTTACACAGTGGACACTTCAAGAGTCCACCAACTGTTTAATACTGTATGGGAATGAATGGAAACTAGTGGCTGCCTAGAGCGGTAGGAAAAATACTAGGTAAAAAAAGTGAAGTATACATGATTTGTAGCTAAACTTAAAGCTAAATTATTATATTATGATTCCAGACTCGCCTGTTTCATTATAACAACATTATATCACATATTATTTTCTATTAAAAACAATGAAAACAAACACTTGATGTTTCTTAAAGTTAGCAAACACTGGAATCAGGTGTATAAAACTCAGTGCGCCGTTTTCTGATGGGACTTCAGGCTGGAGCGCTGGGTGAAGCACTTCCCGCACAGCGAGCACTCGTAGGGTTTCTCCCCGCTGTGGACCACCGCGTGTCGGATGAGGTTGCACTGTTTGGTGAAGCTCCTGCCGCACTGCAGGCAGCTGAACGGTTTCTCCCCGGTGTGGCTCCTCATGTGCTCTTTGAGCTGACTGAACCTCATGAAGCTCTTGTTGCAGTACGTGCAGCTGAACCTCTTCTCGCCGATGCCGGACCTCCAGGGCGCCCTCATCCTCCTCGCCAGGCCGAAGCCGCTGCGCCCGCAGAAATTGGTGTCCGCCAAGTTTGGAGGCCCAGAATCCTCGTTCGGGTTCCTCGTGTGAGGCGCGGCGTCTCTGTATTGATGCTGTGGCTGCTGAGGAATCAAACACTGATCCATGGTGTTGAGCTGAGATAAAGCGTTGTGTCCTTCGTCTGGTTGTGGTCTCTTACATCCAAACGCTCTGGCTCGTCTTTTCACCCGTGCTGCGCTCACTGTGACTGAATGTGACTTCCCCACTGAGTGGATTTGGGGCACCATGTCTTCCAAATGAAGTCCACTTTGAGACGGGAGCATCGGGGGAACTGGCTCAAACTGCTGCCCGGCGTACGAGAAGCCCGGGTCAACAGCGGCTCCGCACAGATTGGACGACCACAGCTGGCCGTCGCCGTCCTCTGTCACAAACTTGTGGGCTGAATCCAGAGGAGCTGCGTTCTCGTCGGGCTCTTCCTCTCGCTCGTGTTTCACTATGAGCTCGGCCTCAATTTGGCTTCTGTTTGGCAGCTGCTGGTCCAGGAAAGCGCTGTACCCGTCTGCCGGGGAGGCCAGAGATCCGGGGTCGGCTGGGTTCTCAGCCGAGTCGGTCCGGGCGGGTTGTGAGGCTTCGAAACATGGCTGCTGCTCAGAGACTAAAGGAAGCACAGGAACCAAAACATTATCTTAAAGTAGAGGTTTTCAAGCTCCAAGTCTAATAAATGTTTAAAATCACCTCTTTTAAATCACCAAAGAGCAATTGACGAATCATTCAGATACTAATTTAAATTTGTGGTTCTTTGAATGTCATTATTTGAGTTGTAGTTCTTAAACATTCAATTATTTCTCAGATTTCCCCCTAAATAATCAATAAGGGATTGGAAAGGATTCACATTCAATGAGCAGATTTAATACTGGATTCAGATTTTTTTTTAAATAATCTTACAGAAATCCAAAAACCAAATGCAACCAGGAGCAACTGGACCAGAACCTGGGATGACTCTAAGCAAATGAAAGACCTGTGAACAGTTTGACTCCAGTGGTTCCAACAAGCCCAAATTATGGAAAAATCAGACTAAATATTCCTATGAAATAAATCCTGAAATGTAAATATAAATGAGTCAGTATAGTTCAATAAAGAAACAAATAAATAGTTATTTATTTAAAAAAGGATGTAACTGAGCTAACTAGTGTAATGGAACATTATTAGACTGCCTTATAAAAAGTACCTTATATCATAGTGCCTTAAACTATGTATCCTTTTTATCCTTACATGCTTTTGTGCAACATGTTATTCGACGTATAACCTATGAGTTACGACGTTCTCCTTGAATAGTTCTTTAAGTTGATTCGTACTCTGGTAGAGTGTCCAGAGAATTTACTATCCACGTGTAGAAAATGAAGCTACAGATTAGCCTGCACCTGGTGCTGCTCCCCTAGAGCAGTTAATTGGAGGCCCACAGGAACTAACTGATAAGGGAGAGTTATGAGAAAGCCTGTCCTTGTAACACTAACGAACAGCAGCTACAGTTAGAAACTTACTAAAGCAACAAGTTAAAGCTTTGTGTGAATTAGGAAACTCCATAAATCACAGAGAGCTGAGGCAGGATGTGTGACAGGAACCAAACCCAACAGGAAAACCACCTCGGTTCTGTAGTTAAACTGGGCCTCCATTTGGTCTCAGAGGCTAATAAAAACCTATGTACCTACTTATCTATTGAACTATATTGACTCATCTATATATTTATTAATATACTTATTGCCTCATATATGTATTGACTTAAATAGCATTCCATAAGATAAACATAACACTTACATCACTTACTTGATGAGCACATTTAAATGCGGGTATTTCTGTCACATAGTCTCTACACACTCTCTATTACGCACGTATTTCTGATCATGTGATGAGCAAAGGAAGTTTCTGTGTGTTTGTGTGTG